GTGTGTGTGTGTGTGTGTGTGTGATTTGCTTCACAAGATGCATAAAATCAGCCACCCATACCCAGACGTGGCCCTTCTGCATGACCTCTTCTGGGCCCACACAGCCTCTGGGCCCCCGGCCCCCAGTAGGGAATATTAATGTGAATGTCAGGCCAAAGTCCCGGTGAGAAGGGTAATGACCTGGCTGGGGAAGGCGGTCCAAACACATCCACCATCAAGCAAACAGGCGAGCGCTCGAGGCACCGCACATTCTCAGCCTCTCCGGCAGCAGAGAGAAGGAAGCAGTCTGTGGTGGGGCGCTTAGGAGGGAGCCCTTGCCTTCCCCTCCACTTGCTGTGCTGCCTGGACATCTCACTGCCCTCTCTGGACTTCAGTGTTCTCTTCCGTGCATTCAGGAAGAGACTCGTCATTGAATCTCTGTGTCTGGCCCAGTGCCGACCGAGCATGTAGTGGGCGCCCACTGGATACTCGAGGAGGGAGAGGAGTCTCAGCCCAACTGATCAGTGCAGTAAGGGTTTCGGAGGCCATCTGAAGTAAGTGAAAGGCTGCTCAGCCCTTCTGGAGCTGGGGGTTAGAGGGGACTAGGTGTGAAGGTGGGCCCGACCTGGAGCTGGAGCTGCCCCTCCATTCTACACCAACTGCACCATTTGCGTGCAGCAAAGGGAACTTTGGGCGAGGTTACCTAGAGAGAGGCCTAGGAGGTGGCCTAGGAGATGATGTCCGAACGGAGATTGGTGAGCAGCCCCCGCCCCGGGGAGCAGGACCTTGAGCCCCACAATGTCTCCCTAGACTGTGGGGTTCTGCAGCCTCTGTCCCCCCCTGCCCTCCGCCGGCCAGTGTCCTCAGGGTGGCCGTGGGGTGGCTTGCCCCCAGGAACCATAGACATCGTGTAGGGGGCCTCACGTCCCACCCCCGCTGACCTCTCTTGGGAGCTGAGGTGTTATTTGGACTCCTGTTCACCACTCGATGGCTCCCTTGTGGAGTTCTTGGTTCATCTCAGCTATCACCTTGAGGAAGTATTGTCTCACTGTCCACAATGGTTTTGAAGTATCCCCACCCCCATTCCCTCAACGTCCCACCACTCTGTTTCCCTAACAACAGCCGTCACCATCTGAAGGCAACTCTTCTGTTCCGGTTTATGGCTCGTCTCCCCCCAAATGCACATGCTCCACTAAGTGGGAGCCTCCCATGATGCCTCGCTCACAGCTCTGTGCTGGTGCTGAGCGGGTGCCCAGAGCAGACCACAAGCCACCATCCAACTTGGGTTAGGTGTCAGCGGGCTAAGGTGCACACATGAAATGGCCTTTGAAAACAGAGCCCACACCACAGGGGACATAGCATGAAAACCCTCGTCCAGATGTTTCTGCCTGGTTCCTTGTACTTTGCTCTGGGGAGTAATTGCATGTGGTCCAGTTGATTCATCCATGGAAATCACAAAAAGCAAACACACACATTCACACCCACAGAGGCACATCCAGTCACACACACACACACACACACACACACACACACACACACACACGTTTGCAGAGACACACATGCACGTGGGGCCGGAAGCTCCCTTAGGCTTCTGTCTTATTGTCCCTGAGCAGATGCCAGGTGGGCCAGGCTGGGCTGCTCCGGGAAGGGCCCAAGGAGCCGCACATGAGGCCTTGTCAGAGACCAGGGAAAGATTTGGGGGACTTTTTTCTCCTAAAGGCTGGAGCTCCCATGAGCCAATGTAGAATATGTCTGGTGGTAACAAGAATTACATAGAAAAATAAAATTGGTGCAGCAGAGAGGGGATTGGACATTCTGGGTGAGGTGAGGGCTATTTATACAGAGTGGCCAGGGAAGACCCCCCAAAAAGTGACATTTGACTAGAAACGTGCCTGTGTGGTAATTAGCAACTTGGAAGTCTGTGGGAGTGGTGTTTGGGCAGGGCACCGAAAGTGCCAAGGCCCTGGGTTAGAAGTGCATCTGGCATGTTCTTCAAGGTTGGAACTGAGTGAGGGGGAGACAGCGGGCCAGGGTGGCCATGTCAGGCCAGCATCCAGCAGAGGCTTAGGGACAAAGAGGGACATGCGACCTCAGGACTGGAAAAGGCCGGCTGGGGGCTGCGCCAGCACAGCAAAGGGGGGCCGGTTATCGGTGGGAGGTGGCCACTCAGACCTGGGTGGTGTGGGCTCCCCGCATCTCGGGCTCAGACACCCCCTGAAGGTAGAATCAGGGGTCAGCCATGGGGCAGGGGAAACTGAGGGCCCCAGGTTTGGGTGCTGGGCATGAGCAGTCTGATTTTGGACTGTGAGTGCCAGCGTACAGAGCCACGGGTAGATGTGCCCGCAGGACCGGGTGGGAATGGGCGGCGGGGCCGAGGCCTGGGCCCCAGGACCTCTGCCCCTGAGGCCAGGAGGCGTGTGAACAACCAGGCGAACACAGAAGGGGCACCATGAACCAGGAGGCCACGATGGCCTGCCGGTGTGGCCCAGAGGCTGACCACTGGTGGTCTTATCCAGACGGCCCTGGTGGGGCAGGGTGAGGCTGGCAGGAGTCCTGAGGGAAGCAGAGGGTGGTGGAGACCAAGGGCAGATGTGACTTTTGAGGAACTTTGTGTGGAAAGGAGTGGAGAAATGGGGCGGTGGCTTGAGGGCCAGGCAGGACCAGCCTCCCTTTCCCACCAGTGAGAGAGCCTGGGTGCTGAGCTGAGCTCTGGGTTCTCTGAGGGTGCTTGAGCAGGAGTATGGTCCCCAGGGCACCAAGGATATATACAAGGGTATCGGCCAGGAAGACCCTGCAGGGGCGAGGGGAGGGTGACGGGCTGCAGTGGTGGGGATGGCGAGTTCTGGGCCAGCAGGAAAAAGGGTCCGCGGTGGATTGGGGAGGGAGGGGCTTTCCAGGCAGAGAGGGAGCAAGTAGCCCGGGCACAGGATGCAGACGTGGCCGGGTCCCTGGGGACACTACCTGGGGCAGCCAGGAGGTCTGTCCAGGCTCTCCCGCTACAAGTCCCTCCTCGCTCTTGGTCAAAGCACACTGGAGGTGAGCCTTGTGCCCTGAGCCTCCCCAGGTGTGCGAAGCCACCAGCTGGCCTGGCGGAAGGGCCCCCGTTAATACAGGGCTTCTGCAGGTGGTGGATGTGAGACCCAGGAAGAGTAGCAGTGTAGGAAGGGCATGCAGGTGACAGTGGGGTGAGGGACAGGGGCGGTGTGGAAGGGCCAGGACAGAAGTCGTCTGGAAAGTGGGCCCCCCCTCCACAAGGATGAGGGTAGAGAAGAGACTTTGGGGGTGTGTGACGAGATGAGGAGACAGAGCTGCTGGGGAAAGACTGTCCTGGGAGCTGCGGGCTCCTCTCCTGGCCGAATAGCTGGGGAATATTCCAGAAGGGCCTAGGAGGGAGGTCCAGAGGGACCCACCCACTAGGTTCTGGCACCTATACCTCTGGGATCCTTCGATGTTTTCCTAGGGATTACTCATCCGGGACCCACCAGGGAGGCTCCTGGGGCTGTTTACTACAGGCCAGCCCTGGCCACAGGCTATTCTGGGAGCTGGAGGCGGGCAGGTCATGGTCTTCACCGGGCACCTGTGTCCGGGCGTCATGGGCTGTGCAGTTTTAACCCTTGTCTGGTGGAGCTGGACGCAACGGGCAGGGGTGGTGGGGTAACGGGCCTGGGCCTGTGGAACTTGCACAGGGAGGTACTGTTAGCAAGAGAGACACCCCCGCAGGAGAAGGTGAGTTGAGACCCGTGTCCTCTGTGCTGGGGCAGGGGGACAGGAAGCGTTCGGGGGACAAGGGGGGCCTCCGGCCGATTCGCTCCCCAGCCACATGGCCACAGCCTGAGGGGTCTTCGGAAAACAGAGCTTCTTTGTTCCAATTTAAAGCAACAGGTCAAGAAAGCAAAAAGGAACAAATAAAACAATAAACGTGAGTTTATTTTTTCCGTTGTGGATTGCTCAAATACATGATTTATGTTCTATCATACATGGAAGAGCCATGAAAACTGGCCATCTGTTGACCGTA